TAAAAATACGGTAGCCACTGAAATTGAGTACTTTGGAATAAGAAAAGATTTCTTTAAAATACATTGATGCTAGGATGTATTTTCAGAGATTTAAAACCTTAAGGCATCAAATTATAACAGTTAAAATTATTACAATTTGTTGACAATATTTATTAGCAGTAATTAAAATCTGGTAAATATACTTCCTTAACACTTTAGCAAATTTGTGATCGACTAAGATTTATAGGATAGTGATTCCAGTAAAGTAACTTTCAATTTTTCTAGTCCTGGTATTTTATCTTTGATCAATTCCTTCTAAAATAAATTTGTTTAGAGTTTGGAAGACTGTCTAATAATTATCTAGAAATGAAAATTTTCCCCACCAACTTATCTATACCAGAATACACCTTTCTAGTATTGTTCTTTACACAAAGCAGGGTTATAGTAGTTACAAGTCTTAGAATTCTATTTGCCCTTCTTACAGGAAAAGCTTTTCTGAAGAAGAGATACATTTGTTCATTTTTTTCCCTAGGGGGCTTCGCATGTCCCATCTCTAGATGGGTAGGAATTTTCACTTAATAGGGAACTGATTTATATAAATTACCAGTATAGGTCTTATATTTTTTATTTTAAATTATATTTAGTTACCTGACATAATTAAGGCAGGCCTGCTTCATATCAAGAAAATACCAGAGAATACTCTAGATTGGGTTTAAAAATGTACGTACCCTTTACCAATGTTGAATTGTTACTTATGGTTGCTTCCTTCACTAGAATCATTGCTTGGATGTATTCTGTTCAAGAAAGGAAAAAATGAAAAAAATCATCAGCAGTATCACCTTTATTCAAAGTGCCAGCTACTGTACTAAACAATTTGCAGCATCACCTTTATTCAAGGTGCCAGTTACTGTGCTAAACAATTTACATACTTCATCTCATTTAATCTTCACAACTCCTCTGAGAGGTTCCTGATGAGGCATAAACAGAGGTATCAAAAAGTGACTGGTGGGCCGGCCGAGTGGCGCGAGTGGCGCGATGGTTAAGAACTGGCTTGGGATGCCAG